AGATGGTCCCGGAACATCAACACCTAAATAAGAAAGGACATGTCTGGAGTTAGAATTTCTGTAAGCGCAAAAATGCTTTCGTTAAAGGAAATATTCATAACAGAAAGTGAACAGAAAGTAAAGATTCTGTAGTGTTCAGCCCAATCAAAATTTGCCGAATCTCTCGACAGAGAATGAAAATGGGTGAATTAAGAAATGAGTGGCCGGATTATCATCTAAAGATGCATCATTTTTCTTTTTTATCCCGAAATTCTCTGAAAAAACTCATAGTATTTACATTTGAGAATTCTATGACGTTAAGCAAAAATTAACGATATAAAACCACCATGGTGCCAGCTGACTCCATCTTGTTCCTGGACCTATAACAGAATCTACTGCAGTGAACGACACTTCGTCTTTTGTTCAAATTCCGAGGCTTTGAAACAATTAGACGTTGTTTCTCCTCATCTTACATCACCAAACTAGTATAGAATTTTATGAAACTACTCTCCTGAAAAGTCAAGGCAGTGAGTGTTGGTTAGAACTCATCGAGCAGTTAAGGTGAGCTCCCCATATGATTTTTTTTATTGTATCTGCCCGATTTATGCGAAATTACATCAGTTTTCGGTCGGAAATCGAAAGTATAATTATGTTAGAAGGTTGGAAGATATATATAATATAACTGTCACCAAGCTAAATAATCGCAATCTCGCCTGACCTGAGGGTTCAGCACCTTCTGTCTGCTTGACACCATCGGGTGAAGGGGTTTCTTGAGAGTAGGGCAAAGCCTATTATGAAAACAAATTGTATTCGGTACAAGCTTGTTGACCAGCCAGACGAGACCAGTTAAGAATAATAATGCTGCCTACGTCATTATCGTCATCGACATTCACATAAGTTGCGCCTAAATACCATGGTCTACGTCTCTGCACTTCTGGGCCATATCTTGTCAGGCATCCTTTGAAAAATGCCCTAATATGTTTGGCTTCTAAACGAACGTTAACCTGAAAATAGCATTTTTTGAAAAAGTCGCATCAAATGTATCAAAACCGCCCAAGAAAAAGGTCGAGGATGATTAGCTACTTGTTGTACAGATTCTGGAAATTCAGGCTGTTTCGCTTAAGATTATTTTAAATTTTCATAGTATAAACATAATACGCCACATAGCTTATAATATAAACAAAGCACATGTAGGTGGCGTAGTAGGGTAGTGTAGGTGGTGGCGCACTATCACACGCATCGTCCAGGAATCAAATACCGTAATGAAGCCCGCCCAAGCCAACCAAGCTTTCCATCAACCCAACGTCGTGTAATTGGCACCAGTATCGTCTACGAAGACAAAGGAACGATGTGTACAGCGACTGGCCGTAGCGACTCTTGTATGGCAGTCGCATACGTACCCAAAACGCAACTACAATCCTGAACGGAGGCCGAGAGCTGGGCGTATCCTATAGATCAAAGTCAATAAAGCAAAACCCTTATCCTTATATATTGCTCTAGCAATGAACGTTTAATACCACTACTACCCATCGTGTGGCGTTTTCCAACACGTTGGCCCCATCGCGTGTTCTAATGAGCTTCACCGAAAAAAANAAAAAAAGATATTACACGATCTCACCAAACACTACATGACTCAGAACAGATACACGCGGAATTCGTTTTTTTTTTTCAAAAAAAAAAAACATAAAGTAAGTAGCGTGGTCACACAAGTCAAAACACTGAAATGAAATAAGACGAATTCCAAAATTCTACTGAGAGAACTCTCAACTTACGTCAAAGAAAGAAATGTTGCCTTGGATTTGCCTAATCACGGCCCGTATTATGTTGACTGGAACATCATTGATCAGCTCCAACGGAAAGTTTTCCCAGCGCTGCTCAATCTCATCGGCAAGGAATAGAAGCTGAACAGGATATTCTAAAGGAACTTCGAGATACTGCTTAGAAAAACAGCTTACCGCTTCGACGTAGTGTTCATTGCATACATATTTAAGGTCGCTACGGATGCCATCATAAATGTCCTTAGCATCATCCAATGTGAAAAAATCCAGCTTCACCAAGCAAGATATCAAGGTGGCGGTCGACGTTTTGTCCGACCAACGGTAGCGAATAGTTCCTATGGGTTGCAATGCTTTGCATAGTGAACAGTAATACATCTGAAAAAGAAGACCAATATTGAAGCAATTAAAAACATTTGTACACAAAACTGCGACAACAAAATGAACATCCTTAGATGCACAGGTTAATATCGCTGGATTGAGAGCAAAATGATCGCAGGAAAAAGATTTGAATACTTCCTCAAAAGCCAACGACGAAAAACATGGCATTCTGTGGGTTTTCGGGTAGGGCAACGAGAAGTGTGTTTATTTCGACGTCCCATCTTTGAACTGTGCAGAGCAAGAAACTTCTGAACAAGAAGAAATACCTGGCTAGCTGAGGGGTCGAACAAGCCCTAGCACTATCAGCGTCACACTAGAACAACTTCAACTCAGATCACGTCCTGGTTAATGCCCTCCTCTATTTCGACCATCAGAGAGATATTTAGAAAGGCCAGTGAATATACCTTCGAGAAAACCAACTGATAGGATGGCTCCTAAGAGTTTTTTTACTCTGGAAATCCCATGTATTGAATCCTATGCTTCTTCTTCTGGTTATTATAACAATCAACGAGTTGCTCAAAAGTGATACCATTGTGTGGAAAGTACGGTTAGGCTTTTCTCAAATTTCAATTTCTTCAATAAGATGTCACAAGAGAGCGTCTGCACGGAAGGTTCTTACATACAATGCAACAAAATTGGTGAATCAATGCTAACACACCTCAGGAATAAGTTAGAAACGAACGGAACAAAACCAATAAACATTGCCGATCACGAAGTAAATAGATTTAGTCATAGGTTACGATCGCCGCTTAATGTATGCAATCACACAGCTCATTTTGTGTGCGTTTGCGTACGCCAGGACCACAGTAACTTTACGTCTATTTTTAATAATCTCCAAGTGGAAGAGGAAGAAAAGCTCAAACAAACAAAGGCAAAATACTTTGTTTACTCTGTAAGCGCCACTACATTGTAGAGCTTATGCACCCGCCCCACTACCGCAGAGGATGCTCGCTGTGCGCTCGTAAAGAAAGCCGTTCGAACGGGAAAATGAAACAAAGGAAGACCCTCTCAAATACGAAAGGCGTTCTTTTAGTAATACTGGTAAAATACTCATTTTCACACAAGAGGTGAAGTGAAATCAGTGCAATCGCGGCGGGTTCGTCACTAAAGTATGAAAAGATCACATGCAAGGAAACTTTTCCGCCAGAGATCAAGAGGGGCAGAAATTCACATAAAAGGTGTTGCCTTTTGTGGAGTCTCTCTCTTACTCTCACTGGTGCGGGCATTGGGCCTGGCAGTCGTCCCCGCCAGACCCCGTCGTCCCACTAGTCTCATACACTAGATGAGGTCAACAAACCAGTTTTGCGTACGCGTGGAGAGCAGTGGTGGGTCCCGTGTGAGACAAATCGTGCTCTAATCTGAACGACTTTGTGTAGCGGGAATACAAAAGTTCAATTTAGACTGTCTTCTTCCGTAAATTTTCTGTCATTGTTTACATGAGTTTATTTTTGTTTTCTATTATCATCTCTTCTCTTGGGAGTTTGCAACCATACGCTGATACTATGAGAGCTCCTTTGTCCTTTTCTGCCCACTATTTCACATTCAGGACCTAATTGGGGGACTGAACATTTATAACCTAACTGTTACCCTATTCATTTATACCCTATTTTCATATTATTTTTAGTTCAAAAAGTGAAAACTTACTTAGCTTAATGACTAAAGAAAATAAGGAGCCGAGTTCCATTAATAGATTTGATCCAGAAGATCCCTCGACTTATGGTCCAAAAAAAGGAGGGTAAGTGATTGATTACTTGTAGTGCTTCGAAACTATCGTTTATTATTGCATTACAGACGCTTCTGCTTAAATGATTTCGAGGTCGGTCGTCCTCTGGGGAAAGGCAAATTCGGTTCAGTTTACTTAGCTCGAGTGAAGGAAAATAGGTTTCTTGTCGCTTTGAAAGTGAGTTCTTATTTACTGTTTCCAGCCTTATTTTCTGAGCTCTGCGATTAGTTTTCTCCTTCATATTCCAAAGTCTNAAGTGAGTTCTTATTTACTGTTTCCAGCCTTATTTTCTGAGCTCTGCGATTAGTTTTCTCCTTCATATTCCAAAGTCTGTCTTGGATTTTAGTGCTACTTGGTTAGCCATTCATCCGTATGCTTTTCTAGGTTTTATTCAAAAGCCAGTTAACAAAGAGCAATGTTGAGCATCAACTACGAAGAGAAATCGAAATTCAAGGACACTTGAGGTTTATTTTACATCATTTTAATTGTTTTCACTCGTACATTGTGGACAATATGGGTTAGCTGTAGGAATCCCACCACATGAGGGTGCCTCTTTTTTCTCTTCCCTGCAAAGACGGCTATCCTTGTGCAGTTCTAATGTTAAGAGGTCACGTGAATATCAACAAAGCTTTTCTTATTTCGCAGGCATCCAAACATTCTACGGATGTACACCTATTTCTGGGATGAGAAGAGAATCTACTTGGTACTAGAATATGCTCCGGTACGATTTCACGTTTTTCATTACGTTCGAATTCTAAAAGTTTCTGTATATTTCGTTGTTTAGGGAGGAGAAATGTACAAATTCCTCAAAAAGAAAGGTCGATTTGATGAAACTACTGCTGCTGTGGTATGTGTTTAACGGCAGGCTTTACATTAGTTATCGTATTCCTTTCCCAATTGAACGTATACACAATGAAAGTGCGAAAAATTTTCCAGTCGAAGATGATTGAATGCATTTTTAGTTCATGTTCCAAATGGCAGATGCTCTGAAATATTGTCATGAGAAGAAAGTTATTCACAGAGACATTAAGCCAGAGAATTTACTGATCGGTGATAACGGAGAGTTGAAAATAGCCGATTTCGGTTGGAGTGTACATGCACCAAAACAGAAGTGAGTTTCGCTGCTACTTGTGGATGCCCTGATGGATTCGTTCCAAGACTTAAATTACGGGCAAAAAACGGAAAAAAGTAAACTAACTTCAAAACACTATCGATACTAAATAGTGGAGCGGAAAAGTTCAAGGCTAAATCATCTGATTTCAGACGTCAAACGATGTGTGGCACTTTGGACTACTTGCCACCGGAAATGGTCACAGGCGAAGAGCACCGTGAACATGTAAGTATTTTCTTCCTGGGAAATTATCGAATGAAACTTTTTATCTGCAGGTGGATATCTGGTCTCTGGGCGTACTCTGTTATGAGTTTCTAGTTGGCACTCCTCCATTTGAACACGAAGACTCTGCTAGTACTTATAAAGCCATTCGTAATGTGAGTTTAATACTCATCTATTAGTACGAGCCAGGTCGGAATCGTCGAGCACCAATTTTCCGTTTTCAAATACCAACTGCTTGTTTTAGCTTTTTTTACTTTAACCCTTCGATTCCCAAATTACTTATCTACTTGTGACCCATTTTAATTTCTTATTTAGCATTACAAAAAAATCTTCCCTTCCTATGTTATACTCCCTTTTACCAGTTTGACAACTCAGGTAATTACCTTGTTGCAGGTGCGCTATACATTCCCTGCCTACGTGTCAAGCGGTGCGCGGGATCTCATCAATAAACTTCTTCAACGACGACCACAAGAAAGGCTATCATTAGATAATGTGAGCATACCTAAGAATAACATTTTTTTTGACCATTAACCTTTTTGGCACTTATAATGAGGTCAGTCAGTCAGTCAGGGCTTTTTTAATTTGTATCTTTTTTCAGGTAATGAACCATGAGTGGGTGCAATTCCACCTCCAAAAGCGGCAAGAGAATCAATCAGCTACCAAATCATCTAGAAGAGGATTGCTTACACTTGACGGTCTTTGAACTATTCTTTTGTCGTATAAGCCTGTCTATTGATCTTATATTATTCGTTTTATATGACGGGAACTGTGACCTTGCTGTTACCGCATACTGTTCCTAGTGTGACAAGTGAATTGAAGTTATTTAAAATAAACTGGTCGAAATTAGTCGCCGTTAAATCACACTCTACTCAAAAGTACGCCACGTATTTCAACTCTATTCAGGACCGCTACAATGCTTAAATAGGTACTCTGTTTGGATGTTTGAATAACAATCTTACGTAGCCAGCGTGAAATCCGCATACCTTCGCGCAAGCTTGGTCTACTTCTATCCGATTTCCCCGCAAACCAAAACGGGATACAGTTTCTGGAAGGCCTAATATCAATGCTAGCACGATTTTAACAGGTTGGCAACCATGGTCTCGATGCCAGGACGCACGTTTATGGCTCGCTGGGGTATTTATATTATTTATCAGGTGTTCCTATAATTTTTTTCATGTAACAGCTGAGCTCACAGCCTTCTAGAGAATCTTGAAGCATTGCGGTACAGGAATCTTTCATTTCTAACTACACATATAAGAGAAAATAAAGGCTAATGTAAGGGCAATATAAAAGCGTGGTCGCCAGTGGGTTAAACGGAAGTCCAAACCTAGCGTAAACCGAAAAAGGTCAGTCTAAGCGTTTCATAAATCATCCCTTTTATCCAGTACCGTTATATGGTGTGACAAAGATATCGGAGCACCCTACCAAACAAATCTATTCCGCCCCGAGCCCCCCGAGCCTCGGCCTGCAACTGCAAATGCCCCAACCAAAAAAGAACATTAACCCACCGCCCTGTTATTCTAGCAGTTGTGCTATGTGGAAACAGCTGTAATCGCGAATAGACAAAACTAAATTTCCTTCCCGGATATAAAATTGCAGATACGGCTCAGTTTCAAATGGACTGCCGAAGACATAACATGATGGATAAACCATATTATCTAATTACAAAAATTGGTTGAAGCTTTTTAACAAAAAATCAACATTTATATAAACGCATAACAACAGAATTTCTCAAAACCTCCTTATACCATGATCATGTTAACAGCGAGAATCTATAAATAGCTGCTGGTAAGGGATGTTCCAAGGAACGACTGCGAAACACTATGTCCAGGTGAGATTCGGGAAAGACGGCGAGTTCTCGGCGGTACAGCTGTGGCTACCACAGGTAATGTTTGTTCTTCAGCATCCATGTCGCCACCTAAGGTTCAAGATATTATATAATGGTTAGTAGACAAATTACGTGAATATGGTTGAACTGCGTCTCTTAACTATCACCATAACAGGTATGAAACCACGTCTGAACTACATAAATGGTCATGCCATACAAGAACCCAGAAATTCATGGAAACCTCTATCATGACACTACACAAAAGTAAGGTAAACAGCACAGTTCACAATGAAAACGTTTCCTGAGAATTCTTCTCGATGAACCTTTGGCTTTCGGGGGAAGCACAAGGGACGCTGTCAGATCAAAAAACGGTTTAGATAGGAGGTAGTAAGGGCCTCAAAAGCGGCCTAGCCGAAGTTCACACCCAAAGGCGGACGAATTCCCATGGCGTTCTAGAGGCTTTAATGGTTGCACAGTTCGCACCAGGACGCATACGTTGCACGCATTTAGCTTACTGTATCCAGCTGTACGCAATGCCACACACATTTGGATAGCTCGTCCAAATACCTCTTTCATGCAACATTAGTGTCACATTTTCATCCAATCCCCCAGTTTACCTCTTCTCTTGAATTTTATAATTTTTCGCCAACTTTCGGTGGGTTTTCGCCCCTTTTGCATTATTCTGGACTATCACTCCCATTAGCCGTCTAAACCAATAACGCAAACCTATCGTAAACCGTGCTTTAAAGCAGAAAAATGGGGCTGTAGTCTCGAAAAAGACAGTTATTGAAAGTACAGGGAAGTGCAAAATCCTGAGTGGAAGTTTTCTTGGAAATGATGTTGGATTTACCATTTTCTCCTGACATTGAAAAAATATTCAAATTATGGAGTCTGCTGATAAGGGGTAATTGCAACTCACCCATCATCTGCCGCTGTACGAGCAGCTTGTACATGCCTTCTTGACTGATAAGCTCTTGATGTGTTCCAATCTGTTCAACTCGACCCTGCGGTGACAATATTGAGCTCAGATGATTGGAATTCAAACCACCAAACTTAAACTAGCTTACATGATTGATCACAACGATCTTATCCGCATTCTCAACAGTGCTGAGACGATGGGCAATTAGGATGACCGTCCTGCCTTTGAGATTCTTCGAAATGGCTTCTTGTACCTTCAATTTAGTGTCTTGGAAATATGAAGAACACTCAAAAGACTCTCGCAACACTGAGCTTATGAGTAAAGTCATGGAAAATTAACAAAAAGAAAGTGAAACTGACCGAATGTTCACTTTCTGAATCAAGAGCAGATGTAGCCTCATCGAGCAGTAAAACTACTGGGTTTCGAACCAAAGCTCGGGCAATAGCGATACGTTGCTTTTGTCCACCTGTAACGGAGCAATTCAGATACTGAACTGCTATTAAAGTGTGGAATGGCTGGGACCACTTCTTTGAAAAGAGTATATTCACTGCGGCTACAACCAACTGAGTAAGGTCATCAAATAACGCTTCTAAAGGACTTTATAAGTTTTATATCTGATCTCCACCCTTTAAGAATGTGGCCTACGGATTGTTATTTATCCGATTTATGCATTTATGTTTAACGTACTGTCCACTGTGAGAACACTCCGCTCACCGCGAACCTGTGTTTTTCAATTCATTTGTAGACCCATTCCTCGCCTATGCTCATTCATCCCTGTGTCTAGGGTGTTATAAGACCAGCTCAAAAAGGATTTTACTTTGCACTGCTCTTTTCGGTACACAGACGCCACTGCGTCCTGTATTATATGGCTCAGGAGGCTAGAACTCCAAGACTTCGCAAGAGCCAGAAAAGCAGCGGGTACAGTAGACACTATTTACCTAACTTTATCTATCTTTTTCCTTCACTGATTTTTAACAAATTTTTTCCCCAGTTACTCACCTGACATCTGACTCCCTTTCTCACCAACGTTCGTGTTATATCCATCACTTGTGTCCATAATGAAGTTGTGCGCATTAGCGAGTTTTGCAGACTGAAAAATGACAAAGTTCATGGGAGGAAGTAAACATAGCATAGCAAAAGCCCCGAGAGATGATCAAAAAAGAATATCATTTTCAGAGACTTATCCACCTCGCGCAAGTTGGTGAAATGACATGGCAAGAATAAAAAATAAGTAGCTTGTTGTTACACCCCTGATTCGATGTTCGAGTTGCGATCAGTTTTTATGCACCGACAGAGCCTTATTTCAGAAAGGCTACTATCCTTATTTACACGCACCGTAAACAGTCGTTTTTTTCAGTTTCCTCCCGTTATGTCGAGTAATATATTTCAAAATAAGCTTACCGTTTGCACGTCATCATTGTTGTAGGTATCCAAACCGTAGCCGATGTTTTCCGTGACAGATCTGGCGTACAACACAGGCTCTTGACCGACAAGTGCAATCTGAAAAAAGATCATTGTCTGATGGGGTCTTTTTGCCTGCTTTTATCATTGTGCTCTAACCTTGGTGTGAAGATACTTGTGGTCATATTCGCGAATCGGAACACCATCCAGAAGGACCTGAATAGAGCAAAAACAAATGAGTTACCACGCTCTAATTCCAATGAGTCCCAAATGAGAGGATTTCCGATAAATACCGCACCTCTCCTCCAGTAGGTTCGTAAAAATGTTCAAGCATAGCAATACAACTTGATTTTCCACCACCGGAAGGGCCGACTAAAGCGACGACCTCGCCGGGTTCCACGGTGAATGTGAGATCCTTCAACACAAAACATATATTTTGACAAATATACATACAATTTAAAAGTAACTGTGTATCAAATCATGTACAACCGAAACATGCAAACAGTCAACACTGAGCTATCGCAATATCATGGATAATAAGCATAGCTGAGATATGAGACTGCGAACCAGCATGAGCGACTGAGGGAGTCGGATTAGGCGACGAATAACTACTGTCACTACCAATTCTATTTTTCAACTGTACTGCCCACGAACTTGATAAATCAAATGTTGTGAGCACTTGCCGAAGTCCACATGAGTCGGACATGTTAAGCTATAAGGTGATGACCCTTGAACCAGGGCGATTACTGTCGAGATCCCTTGGGACGTCAAACGAACACCAAGGGCCGTCAGCAAGATGGTCAGACATCTTCCCGCAAACTCTGAACGGAGTGCTACGCCTACTATGCCCCGAGTCCCTCGAGAGAGGACGATCCGCTGGACTACTCTGGCTCGCGACAGAGACGATTGACGACTTGGCGCTCGCTTGAAGAATTCGATAAACAGTGGGGCGACAGGTAACACATCTGATGGACAAGGTTATTATTTTTTTTTGAACTACCATACATGTGATCGGCCGTTTTTGATTGCCTGGATTCTGTACTACCTCACCTGCAAGACAACCTGCAAATTTAGCGATATACGGTTTAGATATGGGGAGGTAGAACGGAATCCAAGCGATCAAGAAGGTTCTCATAACATTTCACCTTTTCATCTCAACCGACTCCATTAGATGTTCTTTGCACCTCTGATGAATCCTTAAAATGTTGAAATGGAAAAGAAAAACACGCCTCACCTCCATAATAGGAAGATCCGGTCGTATTGGATAGCTGAACTTCACATTCTTGAACTCAATTCGTCCTTCAAGCTTTTCTGGAGCATATTTGCCATGATTCTGAATTCAAACAACTTCTGGAGAAATTTTTAGATAGTCAGTGATGTGTAGTAAACCAGCCGACTGAAAACCCCTCTAGGTGAAAGCACGGCGATAGATAAGTGTCAGTTTTGGCACCGTTTACGGTACCCATCAGCCTCGACGGGGTATGATAGGTTGCAACTTTCTGCACCTGGACAACATCGAAAAGTTGGACAATTTTTCTCAAGCAAAATTGTAAAAACTTTGATTAGTGACAGAACGAGTCGAATAAGTTGGAGCATCTCAGAGCCGATCTCTGCGTGAATAACCCATCAAATCTAGTGTATCTTCCTCCCGCTTCACGTGTTGCATGTTGTCACACGGCCCATATCGGCCAAAAGAATGCATGAATACAGCCACTCTGAGGGATACACATGCCGTTTGGCATCCAAGCAACACAATGGGAGGGAGAAAGGATTGGTGTGACGACAAGGGCATTCAGCATTGAAAGAGCAACCAACCTTGACTTTCGGGTCGCGGTCAATAAACTCGAAGACTTTCCGCGATGCACCGACAGCTTGCATCAATCCGTTCCATACTTCACCAAGCTCCTAAACACAAGTCAAAAAAGCATCTTGTTGAACGATCTTTCCTAGGGATACGATCTATTACTACCTACTCGAAGATTTTCTGCTAATTGGAATTGGTACAATAGGAAGGAAACGAGAAGCCCTGACTCGATCTGAAAGTGTGTAGAAGCCATCAAAAACAGCCGCAATGTTTGTTCTCGTCATACTAGAATAGACGTACAACAGAACGATGTGGACTTGATTTATTCGACAAAATAGTGCTACAAAATTTACTCTCTTGGTTATTAAGACATCAAAGTAGAAGGGCAATATATTCGACTGTGAGAAAGGAACACTGTAGGCAGTTTAAAAGAATGGACAGTCCTCTACCCGATCATACCCTTCCTCTCGGATGGGCGGGACAGTCCTGTGCTCCTCAGAGGTGGGTTCATTGATACTTTCAAGTAAATGAAAAAATTGGTGCAAAGATCGGCTCGACTTCAAGGTTTTCATGATCTACTCTACTATAAAAATACTTCTCGAGCTGTAACTAGCTCCCTTACTTAGCAAAAATCAGCTCTAAAAATAAAGCCAAACCTTTCCTTGAATGACAAGATGACCACCGTACCACAGCACGGCCGTTAGAACACCCATTTGAAGTAGCTGTAAATGAAGAAGTTTCAAATTTTGCCTCTCAGAATATTCATAAATTTACTGTTGATCGATAATCTCTGATTTAGGCTCGTTAGAAACTCAAAAATAGTTACAATGACTTCTTAGCAGTAAATTATAATTACTCACCTCATTACTCCAAATAAGACCGATAATCACAACGACCTTACGTGTAGCTATAGCTAAGGTCTCGTTGAGGTAGCCCAGGAATCTGAAAATTATGGAAGTTTTCTTTTAAATGTGGAACGATTTGGCACCATTCTACACTACGAAGATCTGGCCCGCCGACTTGACACCTGCTGGTATGCTACTAATTATTGGTGGCACAACTAGTGGCCACATGGAGCATTACTAAATATTTACGGAACGCCCTCATAGGCATAGGGTAAGGAAAAGAATAAAAGGCATTGGAGACCCAAAACATCCAAAACTACTCCAAATGAATCCTTATCCAACATTGTGATGAATGAGTAAAGGAAATGGTTACTCCTTTTTTCCTTTACAACACGGGAACCCTATTCCTACATGCCTATTGAACTTTGAACCCTCACTGCGACCTGTTTAAGCTAATTTCCAAAAAACACAGCTATACGAACCCTGTAAGCATAACCATCTGAATCAAACTCGAAAACTAGGAAAAACCGCTTACCTATGACCCTCAAACCTCTCACATGCGAAACTCTTCACTGTTCGAATAGCAGAAAGCACTTCCTCAGCAACGTCGTTAGCTTGTGCAATAGAATTCTGTGTTTCTTCTGACAATTTCTGAATGAAAAGTAATTTTTTGGAACTTCCCTCTCAATATAGCAGAGACTGAACGTTAATTCCATCTAACAAATCGGAAACTGAACTCAATAACTTTTTCTCAAAAGCACAATCTGCAAGGGACTTAGAGTATGGCGGTAGGTGGCTGTCTTGGCCGTACACTATTTAAGACGACTAATAAAAGATGGGAAGGCACAGAGAAAGGGGAGAGCACAAACGGAAATGCCTCCAATTGCCATCCACAAACATTTAAGTTCCATAACTCACGTCATACCAAACACCAAAGACTTTGTTCACAAGAAACATAAGTGGCACTGTGATAAGGGTGATCATCGATAAACGCCATGATAACGTCGTCATGAAAATCAGAGAACCGAACAGCATGGTTAAATTCCTATAAAAAGCAGAAAGAGAGTGGAAGAAAACTTTTGATAGTGGTTGACAGTTCCTAAGAAGGAAGAGTTGTGAAAAGTTCCTGTGACTGTTGGTAGTACTGCCTGATCTCAACGACACTCAAGTCAAGGCAGCCAGCTTTGGATGAGGAACTGAATCTTATAAAATCGTTACCGCTAGATAGCAAATGCGAATGGTAACAGCCACACTTGGTAGCACCCCTCTTCACCTTTGCCTCCGACAAGGACACTGTTTGAAACAAGTCCCTGGATAAAGTCCTACGTGGGTCAAACAAAGCTCCGATGCTATTAGTGACGGCCCACCAGTTCCAGAAATATTTGGGAACAAAAAAACCGAGGTTTGTCACGACTATGTACTCATCACGAACCCGTTTTTCAACCGAAAACGGGAACAAATGCTATCATTGTTCTGGGTAGGGATCGAATCTACGGGGCGTTTAAGAAGGAGTAAAACCATCATGGCTTCATGCACCATATTTCCCTGGCAACCACAGCCGGTACAAATAGTTATTGACAAGTTGTACGATCTTCTTTGAGCTGTTAATGTGAATTAGCTCACCTTGTTAATACATTCATATAAAGTGACAAGGTATTCGACATAGTTTGACAATCGGAGGTAAGCCGTGAGCAGATTTCTCCTGAAAAATGGGTTTCCATCCCGGTTTTGTTCAATTTTTCCAAGTCTCACATTACCGATCAGCCATTTACAAGCGTACCTGTCTTGTTAGCATCAAAAAATCCGATTTCCTGCTTGGTAACTGATCTGAAGAGATCATTTCTGATTTGACGGTCGATAGTGGCATGAGCATAAGTGAACGAACCACCTCGTAGACCACCAAAAACAGCGCTGAAAAAGGCTCTTCATGCAGATGTTCGGGAGAATTTTCCTCAATCATCAGAAAAAACCCTGGAAAAACTGAAATGACAGAGGAGTAGTTGAAAAATTCACAAAGGGATAGGCTGGTTCAGAAGAAATCCTTGGCGGCAACACAGACATTGCTGGACCGCGGGCGGCTACGTTAGAGCGCTTGCACAAGAGCGCGTTATTGGCTGCTTCTATAGTCCGAGCGCGCGACGCTCGCGGGCCGGTCGGCGGACTATGAAAGCAGCCATTACAGACTATTTTGCAACACTTTCAAAACACAATTATTCTCTTTGAATGTTCGGATAAGCTATTAGCAACCAGCTCGGAAATGATCCGTCAACATGATGGATTCCGTTTCTTTCGAAAGTAAGCCAGAAAACTATCGACTGTCGTAAGCATTTTTGATTTTTGCATCCATACCAGCATGGTGGCAATGCACTCGAGCCACATTAACTTAAAAATTAATGGAAACACACTGCTTATACGAACACATGGAGGCGGGGCTGCCTGCTGAGGCGTTCCAGGCGGAGTTTGAAGCACAGTGTCCGTTTTTCTGAATAACCCTACCATCCGAGAACATCACACATCACTTCTAGCATCTACTGCACACATTGAAAAGTTTTTTAAGAGCAAGATTGTTATTTGCAAAAAAAGCAAAGCCTTGAAAGAAAGACTAGAAAGAGTATATTATTTTTTGGAAAAATATATGTGTTTACAACCCAAAAGAAAAACAACTTACCAAGCGAGAGACAGCATTGCCATGATACCGACAGTACGATGAAGTCGTTCATAGGAAGCCTGTTCACCATAAACGGCTGATACAACCTGGCCAGTATAGTAGGGAATAAATACTCGACCTAGAATTAGTGTATTTTTTCAATGAAAATTTCCCGTTTCAGGGATGCTTATTCATGCCACAGCCCGGTTGATGGGCTAGTGCTGCAGCACTTCTAACTCGTTTTGTGGCGGAGTAATCCATAAGATCTGATTTCTTTCCGGACTCACTTAGCGAATAGCAAAACAGAAACGAAAATGCCATTCCATAGTATTTCCACTCTCTTGCCATGTAGCCGAGCAAACGAAACAGTAACGCGAACGTTTCTCGTTGTTTAGCTGCTTTTTCGGCTTCTTCCTGTAAGTTACCGTGTCTTACAACCCTTTAAAAACTCATAGATATCCGCTTTTCACCTAAATGGACGAGGGATGAGGCTATGTCTTGGGTAGGTACACCCGAAGGGAGGGGAGAGAGGGGGAGGGACGGGACTGTAATCGTTCAAATTGTTATTTTTGAAGAAAAAGTTCATTTAGGAAGGAATCAGTAGTAAATAGGCTAGCCACTCTTTTTTGGTAGTGACTACAGGGCTCAGGATGTGCTAGGGAGTCCTTCCCATAGTTCCCGAAAGTGATGTCCTCTATTCGAGCGGTCATATACGCCCTTCTTATCCACTTCTACTCTCTCAGCAGGCATACATTCATGTCGAGGGCGTTCCCAGACTCTATTGAGATTGGTACCCCGGTAAGGTCCTTTATAAACAGTGTCACCCTCATTTGAGTAGTTCCAGTGAAACCTTTTCTCTAGAAACCCACTTCGAGCATTCGCTCTTCGTAGCCGACTTCACCGAACAGTGGAGCAGCGGTCCAACCTTGTTCACTGACTCGTGTATAGACACTGGTCCATATCACCTGAATGTGTTGGACCATTCTCGAATCCTTTGAAGAGCTCAAATGATTACTACCGTGCAACCAAATACGGATAGGTTGAAGGCACAGTTCACAATATTTTTGAGGTGCCCGTTTTTTTTTTATTCAAAAAACGGAAGTATAGATTGGGATAAGTTCACCGGTAATGAAGTAAGCGAGAGAACTCGTCAATTTTGAGAAAAATGTGGCTCCTCAAATGTAGGGAAACTAGAGGTTGGACGAGATTGCCATGACGGAAACAACATGGGAGGAGTATTCGGACGAGATTTCAGTGTTGCAATCGCGCAAACAGCTGACATCATCATGCCAGAACTGTGAAGTGTCTCTTTCAATGTCGCTATGGGTCATGATAAGTTGTTTGAGCTTTCTAAATGGGTTCCCTTGTGATCAGTGCAGCCTCTATAATGCCGTGAAACTCGTCCGAAGGTACACACGGACCGATCTGCGATCCTTCATAACTCTCTAACTAGGCCGTCTTCCGACCTAATAGGGCCAGATATGGTATACGCGGTATAAGGGGGCCTCGAATTCATCATGTAAGAGAGTCTCAGAAACCATTTTTATCGTGAGCTGTGCCTTTAAACAGATCACCCAATCAGTCAATCCAAGAAATAAACTGGAAACCTACCTGAACAGCTAGACTAGCGAAAATACACCAAATCATAAGTATCCAGTCACCGACGGCCAATTTCAGATTATCGTCTTCGTAGAATGCCAAAAGCTTCGAAGGAGCAAATGCCAGAATTACAAGCATCACGGCGAAAACAATATTGCTGAAAGGGTAGGTTAACAACGTTTTTTAAAACTGCCATTTATGCTACGCGTAAAGCGCACGCGGATGCATTCGTTATGCGACTACCGACGCTTCGCGACAGCACGCAGGGCGACTTATTCACTGTATCACTAGAGGTTGTAGTCAAAATAGGATTTTATTTACAATGGTGATTGAAAGTTTGCAATTAACAACAAAAAATGTAAACGTTAGATCCTGAGAACGTACGACGCTTTTCTAGCCACTTCACTGAAACCGCTGGGTGAAGTCCATGCTGCCAAACCACCACCAATCAGTACGCAATCCCTCAAAAGTGCAACGGCCTGCAGATAGGATTACTATGACTTAACCGTAACCTTTTTTTGAGCTTTTCGTGAAAAACTCACAAGGAAATCGACTGGATTTGTTGTGAACTTGTAGTTAGGCAGATCGAACCAATGTTTGATGTTATCGACAGTGAAGTACTGAAACCGAAGGAAAATCGATCTCTCACAGGCGTTTGAATGAGGAATTTGAGGTCTGAGACTGATAGGTGGGATTCGCTGAGAGGGGCAGTTTCATCCAGACTGTCCCTGCACTTTTATTTTTATCATAATTTATCGCTATTTTGTGAGGGTAATGAAATCCGGCCTCCTTGCAAGGGTCTCAACATAACATATAACCTTACCTGCCCATTCCATGCCAACCCGAACATATTGACCCCGACATCGAGACCAGCGAAAAACACTGCAAACGAGAGAGCCTGGCTTCCCGTATAGAACGAGCTCATCGCTCTTTGAATTAATGACCCTAAACGAATCGTTATGGAAGCGTCCTCGACATAATCACACGAAAAAGTTTGTGGGATTGGGATCGTGGATCTCACAAAAATTTAAAGAACGCCAACCATTAGACTACGCTTGATTATGAGGACATGTCCCATTGAGGTTGGGATGCCTAGAATACTTCGTCTAACATTTCTATATGGAAGAAACTAAGAGAGGCTGTTTTTGGCAAAAAGTCTATCCATACTTGATCGTTAAGTTCTTTCCTACAAACCGAATAAGTACAGAACGAGCCAAAGATAAAAAATCAATAAGAGAATTTGTAGGAAGTGACGAGCTCAGAACTAGAGCGTAGAGCAAGCAGCATGAAGGCACTTTCTTTTCGTTGCCCATTGATATCGGAAGCTGATAAGAACTACGCATTGCAGGGAACTTGTAAACGTAATGAATTATTAGCAAAGCAATGATTCGATCTTCAATGAAAAAAATAGCAACTCTTAGAAACCAATTTTCGCTACTCTGTCCTCTCTCCCTCTCTTTTTCAAATAAATTAGAAGATCAGACCTCAGTCAGTCAATATCGAAACTTAGAGGAATGTGTCAAAAAATTATCCTCAAAAGAATTGCGACCATCCAGAGGGTAACTGTTAATCGTAACTTGTAGGGAAACTTCCGAGATTGGCGGATTATAGGCACAACTTCGGTTTCAGGCGGGGCTCAACCCGGGATTAGGGAGTTTATAGAGAGTGTTCAAAGAGGAGAGTTGTCTCTTTCCATTTTTATTTTTTTATCTCATTAAACTTGTCAGAAAAAAAAACTCTTGGCCTTATATAGATTGCTGAAGATGTAGATGAAAAAGGGATAGTTCATTCAAGAGGGACTTCAAAAAGAGTCGCATAAATTTGCACAAATAAGCACTACAAATTATATAATTACTTCTCTGCTCTGCTGAATGATATGCTCATGAAGATTTCTTGTAGATGGCCGAGGAACGAGAGGCAATGCCCCTCTAACTTGGCTTAAGTAGTGGAACAGAAGTATAATGCAGGATAGATTAGTTTGCTTTTCTCGAGAAAAAGTTTTTTGCGAAGGGACTTACTGGAACCAGTCAAAAGAATACTCTTTATCGTTTTCAGCGGCACCTGTCCCACCGACTCCGCCCAACCAAATCAAATCACGTATAGAATCGAAATAGCTTTCTGAAACGAATCCAGGTAGTGGGACCGAAATTCTGTATCGAAGCAAAAAACAAATTCTGAATCTTTTTACAGAGATGAGGTCTCTTTCGTTGATTCAGCTATCCGAGCACCATCTGTAGCTTGATTGCTTTGGAAAAACAGAGCGTATTAGAGACATTTCCTTCTGTTGATGTGAATAATAAAATTCGAGGAAACCCTTTTGCCAATAACTTCTATCACTTAGGATTACACTCATTTCTTAAAAAGGAATTGGATTTTCTAGGAACATCATTGTTAGCTTTGTTCTGAGTGTGAAAGTATTGGATTTGGAATAAAAACACAGAATCGATCATTGGGTATCTATTCTACTGAGCGGGTTCCTACTGTCTCTGAACTCTATTAAGATACTCAGCGTGGGATGAACTCTTATTGCCAGTAAATGTATGGCCACATGTTTACGAGTGATAATGATCAAAAGAACCGATATCATTGATGAATGCTTCTGGTAGGTGGCCATTTAGTTTGTTTAGGTCTTCAACGCATGCCAGTCGAACATCTAGCAAGTGTTTTCCACGTTAGACCAGAAGCACTGCGTTTATTCCTATGTGTTCTGGCCGGTGAGTTCAAAGAACTCCGAAAAAGTGACAAACAGGAATTGTAAGAACTTCGAGTTGCACTTTTGTAAAATGTCTAGGTGCTCAATTGTCCCGTAGTAGCCGCCTACCAGGAGATCATCAGCACCCATCAAATTCTTACAGTACCAATTCGAGATACCCAGGTTGTTGATACAGTAATCCTAAGATGACAGGTTGTTTGCCTTCAGTTCGGTGAGACGTGTTGTTAACGTGTTGAGCCATGCTGTGAACATGTTAGTCGACGTAAAAGTAAAGATAAGGCTTGAAATATTGAAACGTCTAACTTGTTATCGCTGTGTTTTGTCAAGTTAGCGGTTGCTTTACTTGTCAGTTCGTGATTATACAGTATCGTTGAAACTCTAGCAAAACGTTTGTCCTTGAGCGGGATCGAACGTATGAGCGCTGTAGCTGTAATTGCATATGAAATGAACTCGTCTAGAGTTAGTGATAAGGACATACTATCTGTGAACTCCTCTGTCACATTTCATTTACTGGGGAGCAACAACTTTTAGCGGTCAAGACAAGCTAGTTCGTCCGCTTGAGAGCAAGCTCCACCCCACGTAGGCGGGCCGCAACGCAATGCATAAAATTCGTTCAACAAACCCCCCGTATGAAATATGTATCTTCGTCTCACTGATCCGCACAATATATTTAGGATATCCATTAGCTTTTCTACATCGCACTATAATTTATAAATGGCCACCACGGGAACAACATGCATTTTTTGTTGCCACTGGTATTATACTGCATATATTTTATTGTGGTGAGTTTTGATATTTTGAATCGAGAATCTTGTAAAGTTGAAGGTATTCTCTTTCAAGAGAGTCTCGAGTTTTCAACTTTTCTGATAGGTCACCTTGCAAAACTGTGAAAACATGGCTTTCTTTGAGGCTCGAGTACACCAAACCTTAAAAACAAAAATAGTTTCAACATGTTCGGGCGTATGGGCTGAAGAGCTCAGTAGAGCCCCTACAACATGTATAGTTTCCTCTCCCTTACGTTTCTGTCCAAGTTAACCCGCTTCCCCACCTCCTTAGTGACGATTAACTGAACTGCCCACAAGTCAATGCACAAGCTAAGTACGGACTCTTGAATACATAGGCCCATCACAGAAAAAAGGCTGGGTCAGAGCCAAAAAATTCTTTCTTTCTCATAGTAGCGGCCTTATCCAGTAATGATATGAAATACTTCCGACAACTGTATCCGCTGTTCTTCTTCTTACTAAGAACATTCACAAATACTGAACCCATTCAAAAAAGTTTATTCGCTAGCAGTCGTGCAAAGCACATCGCCGTGACATACATTAATGAAGTTTCACTGAAATTCAGGATATGACATCATTCATTTCTTCGTAGCCATTATACTCGCATATTCAATAACACATTTTATGACTGGTACACGTGAATCGATAATAGCTGCACATGTATCATTCTTGGTAGGGATTTACAGATTTCGAACATGCATCTTCTTTCTTTTGCACTACCTGTCGTCCCATTGATCATCGATTTACTCGAGCGGGCAGCAACAACACGTCCATTCGTCCTGTCCTGAGAGGTATGTGGACGAACGTGCGTCCGAGGATGCGCGCGGCAAATTGCGCGGCGAAACTTGTAACTATTTGAACGATTTCAGTGCCTATCATTGAGGCCTAAGTTCGAAGTAGAATAGATTAGAAGGATCATCTGATCCTACTAAACTACGTCCCGTCCTCCATCCTGAGCTAGAGTGGTTCAGTAGAAAGTCGTTGCTTGACAGACACGATGTGTAGCATGTCTTTCAATCAGAGCTCTCGCAAAGAATTCGTCCTTCGCGTAAGGTGTCCGGTTACCTGATCTACCATCCCTTAGCGTAAGCAAGGCGTCCTTAATCTTCGACCGTTCACGGAATTTGGAACACTAGATCCCCTTCTACACTTGCTTGTGAAAGGATTTCCTACAATCGTCCTTCCCGCAGCGCGCTAGATGACCCCGTTCAACTATTCATCCTGCTCTCGTAGAACTCAGATCTTACATTTTCCTTACTCAAATCAATCTTTCTTCAAGGGCTATCTCCTTGTTGGTTACTGGAAAAAGGAATCGGAAGGTTATGACATCAATTGGACAACGCCGTTCTGCGTGTTGACGTTGAGATTAACTGGATTAGTTATGAATGTATATGATGGAGTTCACTACGTAAGCTCCTCTAACAATAAGTACAACGTACGATGTAGGGACTGAGCAAAGGTGGTATAGTGCCAAAAGCACATCACAGCACAGGCCCGAGGATTGAATCCCAGGTTGTTACCCAAGCCTTCAGTCTCCGGGGTCGAAATTGGTAATAGGCTGATCTGGTAAAATGGGAACAGTGGCCTGTATAACGGCTAGCCTTCACGAGTTATTGCATAGACCACAAGTTCCTTAGAAACGCAACTTTTACTATTGATGGTGCTGACCAGATCCCCTTGTAGGATGGGCTCACGGAAAGCTACTGCTCCTGTCCTCCGGAATCCCTAGTACCAGCTTACCGATTGCTTACAATCGGGAGCCCAAGTGACTATCGATCCAGGCAATCGTATGAGCTGTAGATTGGACAAAAAGATGGAGGATTCGCACTGAATGACCCTCCACTTTCAGTAATCGCTGCCGGATTGTTTGAAAAAAAGAACTCTAGGATTTTGCAACACTAACAATGTTAATCACCGAGGTGAAATCTGCGCTTATCTTTCAGGATAAGCTCAAAAAAGATCAGAAAGCTGAGGCTATAAAGAAGGTGCCAGGGCTGCTTGAAATCGCCGCTTTCACATTTTTATACTCCGGGACATTCGTCGGACCACAGTTCACACTCGCCAAATTTCGATCATTCGTGGATGGCGCTTGGCTCGATGAGAAGAAACAGCCAAAACAATCTGCGTAAGTTAGATGTGTCAATGTGTCAATTTCATGTTGATACAACATAGGTCTGGGCAGTGCAGGGTGTCCCAGAAGTTTGGACGCCATAATTCAATAACTTCTAAGGTAGAAACAATTTATCAATTCCATTTCATACAGAGATGCTTCCAAAGATATTGGGACTATTAAAATTTTGCTATCTTTGTAAGCACTGGAAGATTGAGAATCGTTCGTCATCCCGGGTGACCTATCAAGAAGAAAGCAGCAGAGCAGGACTTTTCGAAGTTGTCAATGGCGAATTGCCAAGCAGAAATCTCATTGCCTTTATGTATTTATGAAAAAATGTTAGTTCATTTCCAATCCCAACAGGCACTCATTTCCAATCCCGACAGGCACTGTAAGTAAGGAAGTGCAGTAAGTCGCTAACTTTCTTGAGGGGGAACGCATTCCTTCATCGTTCCCTCTGATGAGGGGGATTTTCACGACGATTCTCACGACACAAAGGCGTTTACCTAAAGAGCATACTGATGGACGTACTGAAGCATTGACACAACTTCTGGGATGCAATATGACCATTTCCTTCCTAAAAAAAATTCCTAAAAAGCTCGCGGTCCTTCCGACGTCACCGTATTCTAGCCTACAGAGCCAAGCTGGTCCAAGGGTGCTGCCAAAACTAGCTGCCCGGCTTTATCAGCATAGAGAAATGGTCATATTGCATCCCAAATTTACTCCTCCTGACTACTCTGTGCGATTCTCGACTAAAAAAAAGCCTGTCGGGTTTACAATCACAGTTTGAAGTCGTGGAGAGCAAGAAGAACGGCTGGCAAGAAATGGAGGAGGGATACCTGCGTGCAATACGCAAGGAGTTCGAAAACAAATCTAGGGTCTCTATCCGTGCCAATAGGGGACATTTTGAGATGTGATTACAGCATGTTGTTGCATATAATGTAAGTAAAAGTGCACATAGGTTCCGTTGCCATACTCAGCTCAGAGGCTTCGAATCCAATGCAATGAATGGCGTCCATAGTTCGGAAACACTCTGTACAGTGAATTGAAATGACGTCTGAAGATGACAGATGCTCGTTCAATCTTGTTAATAACTTTTTTGATTTCTGTTGTGTCTATCAAACAACGATGAAACAATTGCTAGACTGATATATAATCTTCTTTTTTCAGAATAAATGCATCGCTACGCCGTTTTCTTGGTGGAGCTGCGTTTTTGATCCTGAATTTGGTGGGCACTGCTTGGATACCAAATTCGTATTTCAACACTCCGGAATATTACGTTAGTGGTACTTCGATTATTCTATCGGTGTTTCTTCTAGGAAAATTCAGTAAGCGGTCATGATGTGTCGCAATTCTGTAAAGGACGACGCGATCTCCTCATTTTGAGAAGAACGTGCACTTCTCAATGAGCAGAATGTACTCGTACTCTTCTTCCCTCTGGGACACAGATCACGATGAGATTGGCTATGAGATATTCTTCTGAGTTAGATTTAAGACTTCCGTTTTCCGACTTGAAAAGGGTGACTCCAAACCATCGCAATCTGCTCCTCTGAACAATCGCATTCGCTGGAACCACTGTTCTTGCTAGCTGGCGCCACGTCTTCCGATCTGTGGCTTCTTCTGCTACTTTGGCTCTAGAGAGGTCCTCTTTGGTCACTACCTTTCACCCGAAGCTCCTCGTGTTCGCTTCCTTTGAACTTCAAATCGAATTGCTTTTCTAATCGCATGATCGCCTGTTCTCCGCAACACGTGCCTATATCATTGCAGACCTTGTTTCTCTCATTTTTAGCTGGACAAGGCGGCTAAGCACGCTATTGCGTGCGCTAGGGGCTCTAACCAAGGGACGGAACCACATGAGCTTCTGATTTTCATTACA